CAACTAGCTATTAATGAACTACACGTACACTAATTGCGTAATTTTACCATCAACTATAAAAACAAACACTTCCTTATATTACAAGCAATTATACCATTGGAAAAAATCCCTCAAAAACTCAATCACTAATTAAATTACATTCAAAAAAACAATTAACAAAATTAACAATCTTACCCTAAATCATCGCATATAAGCACTAATCACTCTTATGTTACTAAACATCCACAGGTATACTAATCTATCGGATCTCGCGGTGGCTACGATTCCAGCGCCAGAAGTTGATCCACTTTACGGTGCAAACGACAGCCCTAGTGGTCAGCCTACTGGGCGGGTACGCTGTGCTGCACTATCACAACGTGAAGGACATACCGAACTTCTATTCACTACATTCATGGCTGGGCGTGACGGCCATCGGGGGCTTCGCCAGCAGTCTTGTGGCCGCTTTCTTCATGTTTCTATACCCGGGCATCGATCCGGTCTACCGGCGCCTTGTGTTGCCGTTTCACATATTCGGCGGTACGGCTAATATGGTGTTGACCGCAGCCGTGGCCATCACCGGACTCACCGAGAAGGCGCTGTTTAGTCTGTGAGTACTGCTCCGAGATTGACTGTTATCTAATGATTATTTTGTTTTTGATTTAATAGGAAATCGAAAGGAGCCGAGTATAAGAACCTACCGGCGCCGGCCGTCATAATCAACATGTTTGGCCTGTCTATCGTGGTGTTTACGGTGCTGGTGGTGTGGGTGTTGACCAAACCCGAGTTCAAGCGCCGGTATATACCGGCGATGAACGCACCCCAGTATAAGCTCCGGAGGGAACAGACAATTGAGTGATTTGGTTGTGGTTTTTGTTAGATTTTTATGGGTTTTTAAGTTATTTTTTCAGTGTTTTTATTTGCATTTTTTTCATTGCATTTAATTATTAATTATAAATTCACTGATTGTTTAATGTTATGAGACTTTTCGCAGCTCTTGAATAGCTTTATATTGTAATTAATTTTGTAATTTTTATGCCAAACATTGTGTGACAACTATTTAAACAATTATAAATTGTATGTAAATTATAATTACAAATCACTGGTGCCTTAATATGCGTGTGTGTGTGCGAACACATACCTGTGCTTTAATTAAAACTATTTTATAAACTATTTTTCTAATTAAAATTACTTGAATTTTTTATTATAAAAAACATATTAAATGATTTTAAATCAAAGCTATTTGTTATGAGACATATCATTAAATTTTTATAATGAAAATTAAATATTGTTTTAAAAAATTGAATGTAATTTTAAAATATTAATAATTAATAAATTTAATAATTGTAAATCCAATACAAATATTAAACGCTTAACTAACAGCATAATAAATTTAATAATACTTACCCAATGGAGTCTAATTAATTGTACATAATTAAACATAACTCTATAACTAGTTTTAACTAATTATAAACTTGTAATTTTTAAATACAAATGCATACACATCGTGAAACATAAAGCATTGCCTACCAGTGCTACCCATGACTGATTTTATATCAGCCCTCGCAAATTGTGTATATTTTGTTTTATAAACCAGATGTTTTTACATTGTTAAAAAGTTATTATTACATAATACTTATCGCACAATTGCATAACTCTACACCTGTATTAATACTTATAACTATTAATAACTAAATTGTACTTTTTGTAAACATTTTCATAAAAATACTGGTTTAGAGAGAGAGAGAGAGAGAGAGAGAGAGAGAGAGAGAGAG